TTCAGGGTTCAGTGGAGTCGAGACAACCTCTGGTTTCCTGTTGGTAAACTATATCCCCCCTTAAAGGGAACTCCAGAAAGTTGGAATATGGTTTCAGGGTAGGATACCTTATAATTTACCATAAAGGGTTTAGGATAATCATAATCCAACTTTCTGGCTTTTACTTTAGAACCATACTAAAAAATATTTCCTTGGGAGACTATAGGGAATACTGCCTGAATCATCACAAGATGCCCCAGAAAGATCTCAGAACCCCAAAAACACAGTAGGAGGAGCCAAATTGTACCCCTCGGCCTATACTTAGAAGTCCCCTTCAAATTCCCGGACACTCTTCTATCACACCGAGGTCAGGAAGAAGACATAGCTAGGGAGTCTCTCCCCAGTTAGAGCACCCAACGGCCCCTGAGTAAGGATTCTATCGAAAATTTGCCGGTTTTATCAATTACAAGGGCTGATAGAAGCACAAGCTCGAAAAAAAGTCCCACGCTAACTCAATGCTTTATACTGAACCTCTGAACTTACAGTCCAAGGCTTAGACTTTACTATAAGATGTTTGGGCTTTGGGGTAAAGGGATTTAAGGTTTAGGGCTGGTCGTTAAACTCTTGGACCCCGACAACATGAGCTGAGGCAGGCACCCTGAGCTTGTTCAGATTCTTTTGGTAGGTCGTCGGAAGCGTCCTGATCATGTGGGCTGAGGGTTCAGGGTCTAGGGTTCAGAGCCGAGGGTTCTGGGTTTTAGGTCGTCGGCTTTGGGTTCCCAGGACAGCCGCAGAGATGCCACATGGATAAGCAGCCGAATCGTCATTTAAGACGCCTTTGAACAAAAACAATCCCAAACCGGAAACGCCCACTTCTGGCAAGCCGCCATCCCTGCGATGGAGAGACCGGAGACAGCACCGCCTGAGAGCGGGGGGCGAAGGTGAGCCTAGGACGGTGCAGTTCTGGCGTTTAGGGCTTCGACCTGCGTTTGCGGTTCAGGGCTGCGACCTTTGTTACCAGGGTGCGGTACTTGTGGGAGGCCTAAGAAGGGCCCCCCATGCCATCACACATGAACCCATCTAGGACACAGCTCGACCCCAGCTGACGAAGGAACCTCAACATCATGGAAGCATATCTCCATGGACAAAGGGAAACCATGCCCCTCAATGAATGTATCCTGCACCCTGAACCGAAGCTCTATACCCTAAACCCTAAACCCCAAACCCTAAACCCCTAAACCCCTTAACCCTAAACCCTACACCCTAAACCCGAAACCCTTAAACCCCTGAGCCCTCTAAACAACCTCGGGGAGGCGGGCAGTCTCGAGCCCCCAAACTCAAAACTCTTTCTCAGAATTCCACGAACTCTGACGACGCCTCGGCCCAAACTCAACAATCCCCAAAACATAAGGGTAGTTGTCAAACTTATGCTCCCTTTTTGGGTACCCTAAATATTAGGTGCCGTACTAAGGACCCAAAAAGGGACCCTAATATTGACAACTACCCATAAGCAAGGAAACTCCTGCAGAACCCCATAGAGGAAGATTGCACGACCCTATAATTCACATCTCCAAAACTTCTCCAGCCAAAACAAAAGTAACGAAGCTCCTGAAGAACCCCAAAGAAAAACATTGTACGTTCTATCCACATTTGGGACTTTCCGAAAGTTAAGGGTACCTTATTTTGGGGGCCTTATAATAAGGATTCTGCTATTTCGGGTACTATATTAGAATCCCCTGTTTTCGGAAACTCCCATTTCGACTTTTCCGACCTCCGCTTGCTCTTCGAAGACGAAACCTGGACCCACCCAGGCACAGCGAAGGGCTCATGGTTTGGGCCTTCTCATAGGGACCCTTAAGGGGGGTAGGGGGAGTTGGGGCAGGGGGCCCATAATAAGGACTTAATAAAAGAAGTATAGTCCCCTACCCCCCTCCCTAAAGTTCCCTACAACCTTCGGGTTTAGGGCTCCTTTAAAGGCTTTAAAGGAGTCCCTGAAAGAAGCCCTGCAAGATGTTCTTTAAGGGGGGTCCTTTAAAGGTTGCCCCTGCCGCAGCCGCTAGACGCACTGCAAAAAAGCATCGAACCTGAACACCGAGAGCTCAAAACCTTTAAGCCTTGAACTGAAAACCCGCAAACCCCTAACCTAAACCCTGCGCCCTACGCACAAAACCGGGCTCCTTACTACAACTAAAGTAGCATGGGCCCCAAAACCCTATTCTAATTGTTAATGCCCCTACATTGACTCCAAAGGCCCTATCCAAGGCTCGGGCTCCGCCGCTTGTCCCTCGCATACCTCGGCAAAGAAGTGCACCTTGGAGCTGGAGAGATGGATTCTTTCAGGGTTTAGGGTTTAGGGTTCAGGTTGAGAACCAACTTATGGTTCCAAAAGGGCTCTATGGCAGTTCAGGATTTCGGGTTTTAGACTGGTTGGGAGGTGCACACCAGACGGCACAGCACTCACGGATCACGATTTCGGGAGGCAGAACAGGACGGCTGCGCGACTGTGCACGACGTCGGCAGGCAGAAACACACGAGACTGTGGCGGAAACACGAGTTTTGCAAGGGCACAAACGAATCGCACCCACTAGCATGTGCACGGAACCGTGGCAAGGACTGTGGCAGATCATGGCTAATCCAACAAAGACAGGCCTACAAAAAAGGTATCTAGCCCCCAGCAGACCCTTATTGAACTGCGATGTTAGATCCTGTGAACTTGTCGATATCACAAACTAACTGACCAAAACCCCTAACTGAGCCCCCTGCCGTCGAACCGCACCTCGCTTTGCTGCTGCCATGGGAACGGGCTGCTGAGAGTATCGAGTTGCCGGCAAAAGTGCGCTCTAAGATGCGAGGTTCAGTTTCGCGGCTTAGGGGTGTGTGGTCTTTACTGATGAAGGCAGACGCCTACTCGTCGCCAGGCTTCAGAAGTCTTCTTCTCGGGTCTTCAACTCTACAGTACATCCAAACCGACCTTTACAAGTGAACAGCTTGGTCCGCGGGAGGCAACGCTAAACCAGAGTTCCCGGCTCCCCTCCGTCGGAGTGTTCTGACAAAAGGGTTTACCCTCCTCGGCAAGATTCATTCTGGGCCAGGCCGCAGCCTTCTCCGGTAAGCTTGAGCGCAGATTTCTTAACCACACGGTGCCATCATCGGGATAGCTTACTTGGAAAGCTTGGGGGTGTAGGACCTTGCACCAAAGTTGAACCCGACATCCAGACCAAAACCATCATCAACTGAAGCATGCTCATCACCATCAACATGGTCACCAGTGTGAGATCAAAGATATCAGCACTATTTGTTGTGACCATGCATGTTCCCAGTCGTGGTCGTCGTCGTAGCAGCAGCAGGCGCAGCACAAGCCGCAGCAGCGGCTTTATCAATCTCAAAGCCGAGAGTTTAGGAGTTACTTAAAGGATCATGGGACTTAGTAACTAGGGCTAGGGTTATAATTAGGGTAACTATACTTATAAGCCCAATTAAGGTACTTATAACCTTACTTACCAGGTCCCATGATCCTCCAAGTAGGGTTTAGAGTTCGGTCCAATGACAAGATCCTCTAAAGCCGGGGAGCTGGTGTCCGGCACTTCGCCGCAGAATGTAGGGTCCTTGTGCGAGCAAAGAAAATGAAACGGCACAGGTTTAGGGGGTTTAGGTTTTAGGTTTTAGGGGTTAGGGTTTAGGTGGGCTCAACACAGGCTCAATAATCGACAAGGGCTCTAGAAAGCGGGTTCAGGAGGCTGCTCTGTATGGCCAAACGCAGAACCCCAAACCTTCTCAGGCCTACACCTTAGATCCCAAAAGCTGCAGCCAGATTCCGGCAGGAAGTGCGAGCAAATTGCAATCTGGTTGCCAGATGTTATGACTGTGACTGTGACTATGACTATGACGACTACAAACAACTACCGCCACTACTCCTCTACTCGGCTCGGCTCTGCTCCGCTCCACTCCACGCCACGCAACGCCACGCCACTCCGCTCCACTCGGCTACCATTGCTGCTGCTGCCGCTGCTGTTCCTCCTCCCCCTCCTCCGACTCCTCCTCCTCCTCCTACTAGTACTACTACTAACACTAAGAGTAACGCTAGGAGTAACACTAAGACTAACACACAGACTAACCTACTTCTACTACTGCTACCACCACCACCACCACCACCACCACCACGACTACGACTACGACTACTACTACTACTACTACTACTACTACTACTACTACTACTACTACTACTACCACCCCTTCTCCCCCTAGTCCTACTCCTAGTCCTACTCCTAGGCATTGTCCTAGCATGGTCTTACTCCTCCTCCTCCCTCCTGCCCCTGCTCCTGCTCCTGCACTACCACGCAGACCACGAATGCTGCTGCTCCCACTCCTGCAACTCGTCCTCCTCATGGTGCGTCGTTTCCATAGACCCAAAGAATGGAAGGGCAACGAAAGCTCCCCTGGACTACGGCAAGGGGTTGGGATCTCTGGCACTCGACGTCCTGGAAGAGAGGCTTCCATCGCTCCAGATGTTGAACTCCCGGCACCCTGGGAGAGTGCTGGGGTTTCGGGTTTAGGGCTGCCGAGTTGGCTTCAGGCTCCAGGCTTAGGAGAACAGGGCTTGGCGTGGGTGCTGCTATAAGTTTTGCGATAAGAGTTAGTATAGAGGTTGCTACTGGGGTTCCGGTGGGATTTTTTAGGCTGTTAGAGCTCAGGCTTAAAATTTACACCAATGTGTCCACCCTTGGTGAGCTCGAAGGCTTTGCCACAGAAAGAGTTGCTTCGGCTTTGGGCTTTGGAAATCCTGCTGCAAGCACTTTTGCCCGGACTTCGGGGGCCAAAAAACTCGCTGGTCTACCTGAGAGGTAACGAGGCATGGCTCAAGCGGATGGAAAGCCTTGGCCTCAAAAAAAGACCCTGCAAGACCTGGACAACCAAAGGTCCCTATCTCCGTGGGATTGTGTCAGAAAGAAGACTACTCGGGCTCCTGCGATTCTCGCTCTCGCCCCATCAGCTTTCCGACCACTGACTGCTTTGATCATCCTTCAGTCCTCGTAGAGTTGCCACATCGTTTGACGAATGAGCTTCTCAAGTCCAAGAGCCTGCTTGGGGTCATTGACGGCTTCGAGAAGACTGGGGAGGGACAACCATCCGTCTGCCCCAATAGACCTCACGGGGATCTGGGGACCGATCCTCATAGCCGGCTCTGTGATGCGCTTGGCCTGCACGGCCTGCACATGGCTTGCGATCATCTCCTCCACCTTGTGTCGCAAGAAGCCCGGCGTGACCGTGATCTCCGCGCATCCGTTCTGAGCGCGTGCCCAGTAAGATGCGCGGCGAAGGATCGTTGCTGTTTGCGCCACGACACACATGCGCAAGTCATGGCTTTGGTTTTGCTTGCTGATCTCCTCCATGGTCGGCTTGGCTTCTCGCCAATCTGCGACGAGCAGTATGCTCCCCTTCCTGCCCTCCAGCCAGCTGAGAAAGCGCATGGATTTCTTGTGGCAAACAAACTTGCATCCGAACTTGGTGGCAAGGGCCGCCAACTCTTTGCGGACAAGGGCCTGCTCGGGCTTCAAGCAATGCTCGAAACACCAAACGAGCCACGTAACTTCCTCCGCACTTCGTCCCGTCTTACGAGCCATCCGAGCCGCTGTCCTGGACAGACGAAAATTGCTGGACCCGCGTCTACAGCACTGTGCCGCTAAAGAGCCACTGTTCACGGGTCAGCAAATGCGATGGCAGTGTGTGAAGTCGCATGCGTCAAACGAGGGAGACCAACCACAAGGCCAGGAAACCAGAAGCATAGGGGCGCCAAAAAACACACATAAGCAAAATTTTGATAAAGCCCCTAAACCTTAAACCCTAAACCCTAAACCGTTCCCTCTTTTCCGTGGCCTGCGGGCCCCACTCTTCGGAGAGGCAGCGGCCTTACCTGCAGTGATGATCGTCTGTCAAAAACTGGGTTGTAGTTTTGGGGTTTAGGGAGGGTTTAGGGTTGTAGTTTTGGGGCTCTGAAAAGTATTTATGGATAGGTACCTCTGCAGGGACCATAAAGGGAAATTTACAAAAACTTAAAAGGCTTCCCAAATTGCCACCTAGACAAAGTCTGCGAGGCTTGAATTAGTCAACGAGTGCTTCTGATCTACTTCGGATCCGCCAGTGGTTATCTGGGCAAGTCCTTGTGAGGTGTTTCCTTGGTCCTTTGTGGATCTGTCTTGGGAAAACGGACTCCAATACAAACCCTCACACGAACTCCGAACGGACAAGCCAGACTTCCACTGCATGCGGACATGATGATGAAGATGAAGATAAAGATGGTGATGATGATGATGATGCTGATGATGATGACGATGACGATGACGATGATGATGATGATGGACATGATGTGCAGCAGCAGCAGCAGCAGCAGCATCATCATCATCATCTTGACTCCACTCTGCACAGACAAAGACCACCCCAGCAAACCCTCAGGACCTTCGCGTTCAGGCACTAAGGGTAAAGGTTGCGGGTCCAGGGTTTGGATTTGGATTTGGGGCTTCGGCTTTAGGCTTGCTTTCACAGTCGGTCTGATTTTGGTCTACTGTGCATGCAACCCCGGCCACGGTCTGCACCGAGTCCCTCGCCACCCTTCTGCTGGAGGGCTGCGTGCCCAAGAATTCCCAGCGAGACCGGAGTGGGGTCCCAGGCTTCTGGCGAACGGCCGGGTCATGTTCTAAACTCTCAGTGGGCCGTGGCTTTAACGTTTTTGTTGTACAGGCTGCGGGGATTGAAGATTGAAAGCATGAGTTGGAACCCAAAGTTGCGCAGCCTAGGGCGACGCTGCCCATACAAGTTGAGTGAAGGAAGTCCCAGGCAGCGAGGCCGCCTTTTGATATCATGTCAATCCCCACCATTGTTTCCAAAATATTCCGCTTGGTGTTGTTACTGCTACTACCACTACTACGACTACTACTGACAATACTACTACTACTGCTACTGCAACTACTACTACTACTACTACTACTACTACTACTACCACCACCACCACCACCACGACTACTACTACTACTACTACTACTACTACTACTACTACTACTACTACTACTACTACGACTACGACTACGACTACGACTACGACTACGACTACGACTACGACTACGACTACGACGACGACTACGACTACTACTACTACTACTACTACTACTACTACTGCTGCTACTACCACTACCACCGCGACTGCGACTGCTACTTCTGCTACCGCGGCTACTACTGCTACTATTGCTACTACTGTACTGCTACGACTGCTACGACTGCTCCTGCTGCTGCTACTACCACTACTAACTACTACTGCGACGTCACTGCTATTTGTGCCGTGATGACCAGTATGACTTGTCTTGCTTGGTGTTGCTACAACAAGATTTGCCTTCCTTGCATTGGTACACTTAGGCCTAGCTTTAACGGTCATCGGTCAAGCCAGGGCGATGCGGTTGGGTTTCAGGCGCAGGGGAGTACGGGGTCGAGCAGTCAAGTCGGGAACGTGCGCAGCACCAACCGCCGAAGCCCCGAATCCCTCTGTGAAAACTTCAGGCGTAATGTTCAGGGCTTCGAGTGTAAGAAATCTCAATTGGGGCAAGTCTCCGCTTATAGTCTCTGTATATCGATAGCGCACTCTACCCTCAACATCCTATGCTAACTGTTCAAGCCCTGTTTTGGGGGTTCATGGTTCCCAAAACCACAAACCACCACGTCTGAGATCGTCCCGAGCCATCGACCCTGAGTCTCACAAACCGCAAGCCCCAGGCCAAATGCAGGTACTACTATAGGGGCCTTAACAGTTAGAATAGGGTTCCTTTCAAGGGTTCCGTAAAAGGGGTCTATAAGGGATCCTTTGGGGCCTTAAAAGATTAAATTGAGATAGGGTTTTGATGCCCATTGCACTATAATTATGAGAAGGAACCCCTAAAATAGTATTGGTATTTATTTAAGCCCCTAGAGCAAACCATTGCGCTCTAAGTCTACCTGCCCTACATACCGCACACTCAGAAAAACCCCAAAAACCATGCAGCCCCGCCTGTGGGCTGCGGCCGCGGGGTGTAGCAGAGGAGAGAAAGGCTTAGAAGGCTGTAAAGAGTAATCACCTCAGAGAAGTTTGGTTTAGGGTTTAAGGGTTTAGCAGTTTATTTCGGGTTTAGGGTTTAGGGATTAGGGTTCAGGGTTTAGGGTTTCGGGCTTGGGTTTCAGGCTTAGGGTTTTGGCTCGGGTTGAGGGCTGAAAGCTTCGGAGGCGTGGGCCCTCGGCAGCTTTGCATTCCAGAAGGGCTTTCTTGCTTTGCATGAGTTCCGCTGAGTCAGAGCGGGCTTATCTCAATGGGCCTAGCTAAGCTACAGGGTTACACAAGGGCATAAGTAAGCTTTTGTACGAGCCTAGATACTTAGCGGACTGTGAATCTTAGACCTCCGGGATGAAACCTTCTGCCGACAAGAGTGACAATGGCAGCTGTTGCAGTTTGGGTACGGCCCCCACTCAGCTTAGTTGAATAATATTCATAATATAGATATATTAGGACCTTAATCGTAGCCCTATTATAAACTCTTACTGTAGGGGGTACTACAGTATACATCTCATCATGAAGGTGGGCGTAACTGGAACAGTTACCCTGATCAATGAAAATGTCGACATTAGTGCGATGTTGCCAATAGCCGCCACCATTGACGCAGGTGAAGACATCACAACAACCAAAAGAGTAGGGAAGAATGGCGCGAAGGTAACAAGCCTACCAGAAATCATAATTACCTCATAGCCACACCCATCATCATCATCATCGGCGTCATCACCATCACTGTCATCATCACCATCATCATCATGATCGTTGTCGTCCTCACCAGCATCATCATCACTTTCACCATTACCATCATCACCAGCATAGCAACGGTGGCTGCAGCACACATGGTAATGATAAGACAAGTCAAAACGATCACATATCATCATGCAACAAGTCGCAGGTCATCAACATCATCATCAGCAGCAGCATGAAACTGTCATCACTGTCATCACCACACCAATGCGATACTCAGACCATCATGTTCTTTTTCCTTCAGACATCGCAGCAATCATAGTCGGAGTAGTTCTTGTAGAGCTAGAGCAGCAGGAGTGGGAGTCGTTGTGGTGGTGGTGGTGGTGGTGGTGGTGGTGGTGGTGGTGGTGGTGGTGGTGGTGGTGGTGGTGGTGGTGGTGGTGGTGGTGGTGGTGGTGGTGGTTTTAGTGACCGTGGCAAGTGTAGTGGTAGTCGTCGTCGTAGTCTCAGTGATAGCAGCAGTAGCAGTAGTAGCAGTAGTAGTAGTAGTTGTTGTTGTTGTTGTCGTTGTTGTTATAGTTGTGGAGGCAGCAGTAGTGGGTGGTGGTGGTAGTAGTAGTAGTAGTAGTAGTAGTAGTAGTCGTCGTCGTCGTCCTCGTAGCAGCAGTAGTAGTAGCAGCAGCAGGAGGAGCAGTAGTAGTTGCTGATGTAGTAGTTGTAGAAGCAGCAGCAGTAGTAGGCGGTGGTGGTAGTAGTAGTAGTAGTAGTAGAAGTAGTAGTAGTAGTAGTAGTAGTAGTAGTAGTAGTAGTCGTCGTAGTAGTAAAGGTGGCCTCGTTATTGGCAGAATGATACTTCTTGCATTCCTGAACCTACAAACCTTCTACGATCGGCAGAGTGCTGGTCATCCTCCCTTGGGATGCTCATGTTGAGAGATGCTGAAAGCATATTTTTAGAATTCAACTAGCTCAACGGCACTGACCCCTTAGCCTTGTAGATTCTGCAACTCCGGTGACCGAAAGTCGAGGGCTCTGAGCTGCGAACACCGCGCCAGACCTAATCAAGCAACAGGCGATGTCCCGGAAGCCCAAGGTTCAGGAGTGTGAGGACCCATCAAGAGGGTTTAGGGTCGGGTTTAGGGTGTAGGGTTTAGGTGAGGTCTTGGATTGTCTGAGGTCTTGGGCTCATATCCATCTACCACTAATCGTCGAAGAAAGCGCGAAAACAAGTATCAGGCAGCTTGCATGGACACTGACTCCTAACCTCAAAAGACTGCGATTGAACATCCCGTTTTACATTCGACCCTAAACTAAACCCTAAGCCCTCGTCCCTACTTGGAGGATCATGGGACTTGGTAAGTAAGGTTATAAGTACCTTAATTGGGGTTATAAGTATAGTTACCCAAGTATAACCCTAGTTGCTAAGTCCCATGATCCTTTAAGTAGGCCCTAAAACCCCTCTTATAATAGAACCCCTATAGATCCCCTTTAATGGAGCCCTTTAAAGTATAACCCTAGTTACTAAGTCCCATGATCCTTTAAGTACACCCAAAATCCCAAAGCCACACCCCACACCCCAGGCCTGCTGGTGCTGGAGCATGGCAGAATGGATCGCAATCCAGCCTTGGAATGTTCGGGATCCGAGGGATTCGTGGGTTTACTTGGAGGGGCAGGGGACTTAGCAAGTAGGTTATAAGTAGGCTTATAATTGGGGTAACTCCATTTAGGGTACTTTTGCTACTTACTAAGTCCCCTGCCCCTCCAAGTAGGCTGTGGGGATCGTGGCCTTAAGGGTTTTGCGGTTCGGGCATTGAGGGCTACATGGCGTTTTATCAAATGTTTCCATCAGCTTTTTATCGGACGTCAAAGTTT